GAAGCAAGCACAGTGATTGAGTTAACCGCCCCGTCAGTCTCCACTCGCTTCCGGCTACGCACATCTGGCGATCCAGAGGCTGCTGCGGTGGGATGTGCAGGGGTTGGTATTGTGCTAAGTCACCGGGCGGAAGTATCCTTACTTGACTGGATGCAGGCAACTCGGAATGATTGTGTTAAGCTAGCACTAAGTCCCTTCCCCGTCCACCTTCATTCTTTTCTTTATAATAAGGCTTTCAAATAAGTCATGGTTGTACGGCAGTGAAGTATCGGTGTTAAACACTGATGTCATGCTGTCGATGATGATGATGTTCAAACGAGAGTAACATGAATACAACCTTCTATGTAAGCGAGCTACTCAAACTGTACACCAGGTTATGTCCGGATGGGAGTACTGACTGGCGCCAGAAAGGAGATAAACAAGGCCAACTAAACCCGAAGGTGTATGATGGATAAGCAAAACTCACGGGTTTCCGCGACTTGTTCAAGCTCTCAACAAGTTGTGTCCACGGCTGCAACAAGCCATCGACTAGACCGGAAGCGAATTGCTGATGCAGTGTGGCTTCGGTTTCCAAGGCACTAGCTACGCGCAAGAAGGAATTGTGTACGGACCTTTAAAGTAGGAAATGTCGGAAGGAAGTGAGGGTACAGAGTGGGAATACGGGAACCTTGGATGAGTTAGTCTTCAGTAAAGGATAAACATTCGTCTGGTCGTCACTCGGTTGGGGACAGATACTGGCGATTCTAGTGAGCTACGTTTCCTTGTCCATCCGGGTTCTTGTGTATTTATCCATTCCATTATCAAATCCACTTGAGTGGCTCCCGTGTGGCTACTTCGTACCCCATGTGACCTTAGTCTGCACCTGGCTACAGTGATTAGACTCGGTCAATGTGCGCTAGTTGTTACCTAACTGATAACCGCTTCGCTTCACATATTCTGAACATAGCTAGGCACTACAAAGCGTCAACGAATCAGCCGTCAAACTTTACAGCCCGTCATCTATTTGGTCCCTGTTTTTAATACTATCAACCTCTCCTTAGTAAAACCGGAAAGTTGATATCGTTCGATTTTTCAACAGAGACCCCTCCAAAGGCCACACTCCTGAAGAGTACATAGCAGTGCGACCCGCCGAGCATCAGCTCAGAAGAAAAGACTAACACTATATTCCATAAAAACAATAACAGTTCACGTGGTGGGTAAAATAGGCGGTTGCCGACAAAGAAGATCAAAGATTCACCAGCAGACGCATCGGTGGAATAACAGCTTCCCTTGACACACAGGTCGGATCACACTACTTATGTCACTAATGAAATTTTGCTCACCGTGTTACTGATTTCAACTACTTCAGGTTTCATCAAGTGAGCAGTCACCAAACTCTAGCCGACCTTATTCCGTACTTGAATATCAGAACACAGATAAACACCCAGTTATAAAGTAAGATGGTGTAAGCGAAGGATCCAACATAATAGAAGCTAAAGCTTGCGCTACCACTGAAAGGAGGAGGGTCGTCGCTGCGAAGCCGTTTATAAGGAAACACCAACTGAACAGTTACAGACCATTGGATAGGGAAGCAAAACTTTCATATGTACCTTGTTTACAAAAACTGAATATCCATCTCTCCCTTGAACGCGTCTTCCTGAACTTTTCTAGATATTTATTGAATGTTACTCGATTGCAAGCAAAAGCTACAAAGCGACTCCACAAATTCCGTAACAGATCTCACTTTTCAAGAGACGCGAAGCGGATTTACGAGAAAACGTACTACTCGCATGCCCCATCAGTAGTATCCACCGTTACACCAGTAATCTTCATTTGTTGTCCCCCGCATTTCACACAAGTTAGGCGGTGAAACGACAAGAAAGTTAGCAGGATTCACACTGGGCCATCAAGTTTTACAACCCAGTCTAATAAACCAATCAAAGCAATGCATGGTTGCATTACCGGTTGTTTTTCGATAACAGCATTATCCTGTTAGTAATGAGTAGGCTTAGTCTATCTACTTAAACGCACACGAACGATGCTGCGTATTCTCAGTATACCTCGATGGTCTACATGACACTTGGAATCAAACGGAACAAGTGTATAAGCTGATCAGAAATACCCACGATGGTGGGTGTATGGTCCACCCGTTGCACCTACCTCTTGTGGCTAAACTTCGGTCCACACTTTTAGAAAAGCCACACTAGAGTACTTTAGGGAATACAATGAGAATCGGTTGACTACGCACCCCTTCACCTCGGTTTGAGGTAGACCAGTCCAGAAGTAGTCACACCATGCAAAACGAGCGAGAGTGAACTGGCAGTGAAGCAGAAATCTCTCACGAATATGTAGCCTGAGAGGTTTCTCGAGAGATAAGAGTTGAAAATATCCCCCGGTCTGTGAACGGAAGCGTTAACATTCTGACCTTTTAACTTTACAGCGTATCCCAGTCAATCAAACCTTTGTTGACTTGTCGAGGAAATTCGCATCGACCCTACACAGCACCAAGATTCCTGTTGCTCCATCTCAGTGGAAGCTTCGGGATAGCACCAAGAAACTGAGGGTCGTGTCGCGCGCTTAAATGTCGAGTGTGGCAGAATTCATTATTTATATATGCCGAGTTGTACTCGACCATGATCACCTCAACAACACGCCAGTTGTAGGAAAATGGATTCTCCAACGTCTGAGAAGTGCAGTGAGGATCGTCCAGAAGGAGCAGAAGACAGCAAACTCAGAGCGCTGAAATAAGGCTATTCGGGTAACAAGTACTCAAGTAGCACATAAGGTTGACGGAAACCCAGGGACTGCGCCTACCTGATGAGCCCCAAAAAGGGCGAAACCGGTCGTGGGCTGTCGATGGATTTTCAGCAACCTTGTGAGTAGTACATTACAAACGATTACCCCTGTTTCAAATCGATGGATTTCAGCAACCTTGTGAGTAGTACATTACAAACGATTACCCCTGTTTCAAATTACAGAATGGTTGATATTCATTCCCACATTGTCGATCACCCCTTTTGATCGATCACCGCAACACTTGCTCGAATCCATAAGCTTGCTTTCTCGGGGCTGGAGTACCCCTTTTAACCCTATAATGATCAGAAAAATCGATCTCTATGATAATTGCAGTATAATTTGACTGCATCCGCACTGTGAACATGCTGACTTAATGACTCAAGTTCCAAAAAAGCATTACAAAATAGTGAAAGTAGATAGCATTAGCCCGACATAATCGGGCCCTAAATTGATATGATTATTCCAAATCAATGCCAGTGGACAATACTGGAACGAAATGACCGACAACACAAAAAAACCAAGGAGAACACACATGGAATTACCAGTGGATGCATTTCGGTTTCAAAGATGGATTTCGGGCAACAATGACGACTCGGTCGTCCTAATCGTAAGGGTTTCGAAAACCGCCCCTTTTGACATAGCGGGAGGCTTCCAGAATGGACTGTGTTTGGTCCGCTCGCACGCGAGAAACCGCAAGACCCAATCAGGCACCGCACACGTGACGACCGCATGACTCATGTTTGTCTATTATCTAGGACAGTTTAGCACTGTCTGCAATGCTAAGTCAGCCGAGTGGTATGCGACACAGAGCGATATTCCATACGGAGTATGGATAGCGCATAATACTGAACAGTACTATACGGTGCTATGCTGAACACAATGAAGGTAAGGTATCTGCGCCAAACTTGTTTTTTTTTCGTAATGACCGGAAAGCGGGTTAAAAGAGGCCGCTATGATGCATACTGGGACACAACTGTATAGGTCGAGGTTCCAGAAACCCTTTATGAACGACAGATGTGCTGGAACTTTTGCAACAAGCTATCCAGCTCGCTTAGCCAAATGAAGGAGAATCGCTCGTTCAAACAACACGAAAGCCTCATCAATGACTGGTGATTTTTGAAGACCTCATGGGCCTTTTCACACAATAGTATAAAAACGTAAAGATTCAACTGACATATTCATTCGCATACCGATTTGGTTTTGACGAGAATCTCATCCGGAATCCAGCCGAATCTCTCGATTTTTCACTATGTTCTCGAGAAGGCTGAAAACGGTCGTGCGCTGTCAAAGAGTTTTCAGCAACTTTATGGGTAGTGATTTACGTCCTTAGGACGGATGCTATGTGATGAATGACACTTGGGTAGTACTGCGTTGTTGAACCCTTAGGCTTAGGGTTTGTGAAGGTAACGTCACAACCAGGGTCAGGGCAGTCTAAGCATCATTCCCTTGACATAAAATGCACCAGAAAGTTCCGCGTATGTACTTCATATCAATAATTTACACACCGATGACCGACTGAAAACCCGGCCCAATTTTGAAACAGGTGCTGATCGTGGGTGTATTTTTTCAAGCCTAATGTCGAGGTCAAACGATGGAATACAAACACACAGGAAAAAATCGAAAAATCGTTTAGCTGTAGCACCCTTTGGGCACCTGTCATGCCACCAAAAGGAAGCACGAGGGTTGGGATACTGCCAGGTCACCCAAGCCCAGAGAGGGGAAGTCGAGAGGCAAAGGTCGGGTTCGAACCATGGACGTTCCAGTCCATAAATCCGCGCTCTAAGCCATCTCACCCCCCAAGCACACAGGATTTTGATGGTAGTATGGAAAAAATAATGAAGAATTCATGGAGATGTAGCTAGATGTAACTACATGTTCTAAACAGGCGATGAACATAGTGTTCGTGAAAATACCTGATCGTCTGAACGGCATACACAGTTTCCCAAGGACACCGACGGTAATCGGTACATCGCTCGGACGTACGACGCTTTTACCCTGAAATCTTACAGACCGGCCTGCAGGGTGGTGAAATTCTGTTACTCCCCAATCAACAGCAGCGTCATTCAATCAAACAGCCGACAAAAGTCACTCTAAAGTGCCGCTGTTTACCCGCATTAAGGCTGATATATTTCCCAAATTCTATACTCTGAGTGATTAGATACTACCAAAACAAACAACTCTCGCAAAACAACCCAAAATCTCGGTTAAAAATCAACTGTTTACGAAGTTTCTGGAATAGGGACAGTTCAAAACTTCACGTCTCACTCCGACGATAAAATCGATGAAATAACACATCCACAAAACGTACCCGTCATACACTGAACCCAAGGCATCACGAAGGCGTACACTCAAGCGTGACAATCCGCGGGCATAGGTAGACTGAAGTTCACTCCTGCAACATATAATGAGACCGGAACAGATGAACCGAACCAAAATCCAATGAAAATATAAACTGTGACACCTGGTTGTGGGGCTACGCTGCTGTTCCGTCCCACAGGGTGGATAATAACAACAGTAAAGTCAACGTACGAACTTACATAAAATTCCCATAAAAACAAGGGCAGAAGCCACATCACTGTCAAAATAGGCGGAAGTATGAGCACTCTCCAGTTTTGGAATTCACAAAAAGATTCAGGAACGACTCTAGCTTCTGATTCATTCTTGGATGTGTAAATTTTTAGGATTCAATAGAGTTGGACAATCTCATCCATGGACCAGGCCGGTGTTGGCCTACTTAATCACCGAGTAAGCACACAGCCATAGAACGTAGGCCTAATCAGACAGTCATCGACAACTGACAGATGATGACATACCAACCGTACCCACTGTTTACATAATACGCAAGTCCCTGTGTCAATCAGTGAATGGTGTGGAGTCACAGAACCAGTCGATGGACGCCTCACGTAGTAAACATTCCCGCACACACAAGTCAAAGGTGAAGCGAAGAACAAAGACATTCACTGAGGCTTCTTGAGATCCAACTTGGAGATATATAATATTCCACCTGTCCAAAGCTCCCCTAGGTGGCAAGCTCCCCGACACTACCATTTGGACTCTTAAAAAATCAACAAATCTTTTCAGTAAAATGTATTGACTCGGTTGAAATGGATCAGCAGGGATGACAGACTTAATCCACTGCTTACCACTTCCGCTGAATGGAAATAATCAGTGATGACGTGTTGTTTTCTTGCTATTTCCCCGTGACTTTATTTCCTGTGGCCACTTGTCTAAACTCCTTTCCTCAACTTTCCTATCAATCCACAAAACGGCATTGAATGAACCGCTTGCTCTACGATGGCGTAAAAGCTAACCGAACGGACAGAGTGCGAGTGAACAGCAGACACATGCATGGAACAACAGGATATTGCAACGATCACCGTTTCGCTTCGTTGATGTGCTGTATCCTGTAAAATGAAGTTCCGGGCCCTGCCAACACACGAGGACACATATCTTCCTACAAAGTGAGGTGTTCAATATGAATTCACCGGTCTAAGCTTACTGAGACCAACAGTAAACCGAAAACGATCTGGGTGTCGACGGTCAGGAAACCAGAAATCAACTCAAGCAGAGAAGAACAGATCCAATATCGAGTTAGGCGAGTTTATGCTAGATAAATCAACGCGAGTTTCGTGTTCATTGGTCAGATTGAATCTCGAATGTTCAGGCAGAAACAGGTATGAAATCGGAGGTTTCTTGGCCCATAACTAACTGCACTGATCAAGCTATGTGAAACGCATGGGGTCGAATGGCATTTCTGTGTGAACAGTTGAAGAGTGGTTTGCGAGAACGGGGAAGAGACGCATAAACAGGCTTCAGGAAAGTCTACAAGACATTAATTTGGATGCAGGCACCTGGGTAAAACAGTGTTCACGGAGGTGCCGAATTTCTAAAGCAAGGATGTTGCGATACTTTAACATAAACTGTTCGCCACTGAGTGACTGTCCCGATACCCACGAAACTTTGAAGTTGCCCGAGTTTTGGACGTCCCATTTAGGGAATCAGACTCGCGAGACACATGTTTGATGATGCATTGTTGGTAGAGGGGAGCCGATGAATGAGCTGGGGGTGAGTTTGGTGCATTACACCGCTGAAATAACTAGTCTTGCGTTGCACTCAGTGGAATGACTGTGTGACAGTATGCGACAGAAGTGCGATATTTTATTAAAACGTCAAAGAACTGGTAAAGGACACTAGGATCTCATTGGCTAGTGTCGTGCTGTTGTCCCGTAAAACACGACCATGCCCAGACCTAGACAGGCCTCTGTGTGAGTCTCCCCACCAGTCAATACCCAACAGAACTTACATCGAACTCACGAATTCACATGCAGTGGTATGTCAGGCTCCGCATAGACCACTTGTGTTAAAGTAACCATACGCAGAAAGTTAGTGATAAACCGTTGCTGACAGACGAGTCCGTGGCAGATGTCGGTCAACCATTATATACACAAATATATAAATATACACATAATCAGTTCCACACTATCCCATTTTCGCCTCCTGTTAAGTCAGGTTTTTACTGCCGACGTTTTTCAAAGAAGACCACCAAATGACCACAGAGAATAAGCCAATCGTTCAGCTGAACATCCTAGCTGCCATGCCACCCAAGGGAAGCACGAGGGCTGGAATACTACCAGAGAAATCGAGAGATAGAAGTCGGGTTCGAACCACGGAACTTCCGGTCAGTAAATTCGCGCTCTAACCACTTGGTCCATCACGACTATCCCAACGAATAAACTCGTTTTCCACCCTCCACCATTTTGATCATGAATCAACAAATGACAGTCTCCAACCTCTAAGCCTCAACCTTCAGCCCCTCTACGCTCAGTTCAAAAGAAGTGATATTCAAAGGAGAAACCAGAAGATCCAGCTAGATTAACTTATCAAGGAGACTACAAGGAATACACAGTGAGTGCCGTCACAACAAAAATTCTTTCGCCTCTAGAAGCCTGATGAAGCAGACCCGATAACGACACTGAGGCCAATATCGATAAGCTCTTACCACTTTCACACAAAAATCACACCGAATGGATGGTGTTTCAACACGAGTGCACCAAATCACGATAGAAAATTAACAGACTTGGTGTTGAAGTGTCAAAGTGTGCAATTTTTAAACTGGACAGCATAGTCCGGATAGAGAACCAAAAATGTTTCTATCACAGATGGGGTGCATTGCGGTTGAGGATGTAGTGAGGACATTTGAAGCGTCTGGACAAAGATCAGGTCGAATATGACCTTCAAGAAGTTTAGGACAAAGAACGTTGCATCACGTGGATTGCACCGGTATTTCAATGGGTCAGGAATGACTCTATCAGACTTTCACACAAAAAACACAGGTATTGAACGAATACTCTGATGATAATCATAAATGATAAAAAACTGAGAAACCAAATGTGTCGAACAACACCGATCCCGAACACTGTACTGAGAGTCACCTGTAAGGAAAAGTACTACTGAAAGGAATGATGAAAAAATAACAAGAGGGGTTAAAGGAGGCATCTAGTGCCAGCTTGGTATAGGCGTTACGGAGCGCCTACATTTCGGGGGACAAACCAACCATATCTTACGTTTTTAACCGTGAATTGGGATAATCAAGCGGATCCCAGCTTAGGAGACGGGTCTAATCGACAGAATCGAAACTCTCCGCAGTTTGTCATCCCCAACATTGGGTCAAGGAGTAACCAACACTCCGCATGCATGACGCTGAAGCGGTTACGAAGAGCATCAATCCTTTCTGTAGACGGTGATTCACCATGCGCAATATATGATCAGGCAACCGCAGATTTTGGTGCTGAATACACCGTTAGATTGAAGGCCCTATCGCACGACCGGACATCACCGGAGACAACAACATCAGTCATGACACTGATGCTTCAGTGTTTCACCGGACAGTCTTCTAATCGTCCCATTGCGGACTCATTGGTGTCAACCAATGAAAGGTAGCGCCTGGAATGATGTGCAGCCATGAGATTCCGGATTCCTACTTCTCCGTCCAAAGTTTTTGTGTAGTTCGGGGATTCAGCCGAATAACCGGACAGCGATGGGGCAGTTAGCTTAACGAAGGTGTTCGAATGTGCCATTATTGTACACAATACGCAGTTTCAACTGAGTCCATGGTGCCATCAACAGCGGTCGGTTGTCCAGCTTACTTCAGCGTGAACGTTAAGGGCAGTCAGATAAACCGGATCTCGATAACTGAAGTGATTCCGTGGTATGGCGATGGAAAACAGACTGAAGTGGTCAGCGCTCACAGACGGGCCTATCAAAGGAATACTAATGGTGGAGTGGGGCAAGGGAACAAAAGTACGAGGAAAAGAATGAAGGCGTCATTAATAGAACGTTCTCGCTTACCCACGCTACTGTGTTAAAAATTTAAAGCGACCCGGATGATGAGACAAAGTGCTGCTAGACTGTTTCTGGCTGCGGACTACTGCCATGGTGTTAGAACCCAGACAATAGGTGTACCAGAGTCTACAAGCAAAAGACAGTGGTACTCGGTGGGAAATACCGGGATACTGCAGGTTTTGAAGATCAGGTCATCACACATGCTTCAACCCCAAATATGGAGAGCAAGGAGACCGCGTCAGTCAGACTTCTACAGATGGATCTGCCTTGTAGGGAACACGGCGAGTGTCACGCAGGCACCCCCTAGTGTAGCTCAGTGGGTCACGGGGTGGGGGCACAAAGCACTTCACCTTGGGTAAGGTCCCGTCAACTCGTGAGAGAATCCTTGATCCCAGTGATCTACAACCTTCAAATTTCCTCACTGGTTAGTCAGTGTAACATCTAGACTGTATGCCAAGTAGCATAAGTGGAACAACTACCGCTTAGGGAACTGGAAGAAACAAATCTATCATTAAAGTGTAACAGATTAGAAAAAAGGAGATAAAGAGGGAGAATGTACTTACTTTTCTTGGAATATCTGCACAAGAGTTTGAGTGAATTCAGTTGCACGCTTATGTTCGTTCAGTTGTATATCAAAGCCCCAACGATGCTGAGAAAGGTTGACGGAGACACATTGATGTAATCAACAAGAGCAAGTGAATTTCAGTTACTTCATCACAGAAAGTAGCATTTCTGATGGATTAAGTACTCGGCTACACAGCAAATAAGTGATAAAATACCCACAAGTCGTATGGACAGTACGGCAGAAAAGTCCTTCATCAATAAAAACTTATATAGTGCATAAAGGAATATCCAATAAATGGCAGCCATACTAGAGTGAGCGACGTTTCATCCACATGCTGCCGGACTGTAACGACAAACTGCTTTCCTCCTAAGGCATACCTTGGGAGTTGTTTTTCAGAAAATGAACTCGACTTTTACGGTAACACCAGGAACCGCACCGCTGATGCAAAATATACACCCAAAAGGACGCAGTAATTCCATCCCAGAGAGAACGATTATCTTCAGTCTACGTTAGAAGAAACCCCCAAGCAAAATCATATCCGGCTGAAGCGTCACTTGTGCAAGAAATGCACGCTACACACCACCCAGATTCCCCATACATGACTAGGTTTTGAGTAGGAGAGAATTGAATTCAAAAATGAGCTGGTCTGTAAACAGGACCCAGGGTTTATTCTGTCTGGCTCTCGAAAATCCGACAGAATAATGTGCGTCTTCGCCATCACTTGTGGGTTGTGACATGCTGTCTGGAACAATTGGTGCAGAAAACCAACTAAACTGTCTACCCATGTACTTCACCCGGCGTTCTACTCATCTTTCCAGAAGAACTAAGTTAAACGCCACCCTCAGATGGTTTGGCTAACCCTAGTCCATCTCACATCAAATGGAAGAAATTGTAAAGGTCTCAAGTTGTAGACGCTACTTTTGGTTCGTAAACTCGCTGAGTCCCTCAGACCAGCTTAAACTCGCCTGGTTTTCTTAAGTGCAGCTTGGTTGCTGAATTTGGAAATATATCGACGAAATTCGAGTGAACCACAGCGCAACCTTATCCAATGCATGGTGTGATTCTGAGACACTACCGAGAGACACCAAGACGGTTATTTGAGATGCCTTCTAATATGACAACCGGAGTGAACGAAGTGTCAATGGTCAACATTACCAATGTGCGGAGAATACGTCTGAAACAAGGGGCAAGCGAGAGCTGAGACGACATAACAGAGAGCTGAAGGGATGAGGATTTGATTTAAAGGTTATCCTGCGCCAAAAAAGATAAAGATAAAGATAAAGCGTTCAGCTGTAGCACCCTTCCGGTGCCTAGCTGCCGTGCCACCCGAAGGAAGCACGAGGGCTGGGATACTGCCAGGTTGCCCAAGCCTAGACAGGGGAAGTCGAGTGGCGGAGGTCGGATTCGAACCGCGGACCTTCAGGTTAGTAATCCGCGCTCTAACCACTTCGGCCATCTCGCCCCCCTGCGCCCATCCTGCGCCAATCGGGTGACCAAACCATAAAACACATTACCGGAAATTCTAGTAGAGATCCTGGTAACTACCGCCTCCAAGATAGAACTTGATGCATGTTAGTCACACGCGGGAGTACTCAGTTCCCTATGCGTGAGGTTGAAGTGCATTGTGCGATGTTAAATTTTGATGTTGTCGTTCAGTGCGTTGCTTTCATACAGAGCAAGTCGACAAACCAGTCTTCATGATTATGATCTACTGTTGCGACATTCGCCTGCGGTGGAAACTGTGTTGGGACTGCATCCTACCATGGGCCACCTGTCTGGGATGGAAGACAACGAAACGGCTTCTGATAAATTCGGAACACGCACCTTGTCCCAGGTTTTCGTTTGGATTTGGATTAAATGTGAAAAAGGACGTCGATAAGTTTGGCCCGGTGAAACGGTGGGTCTATTAGTCACCTGTTCCGGTACTATACTGTTGCGGAGACAGAGTGGGCATCCGAGAAGCTCGGGAAATAACACCGCAATGCTGTGACTATTTGCAATCAGGCATTTTAGAAAATCGTACCTCTCGTGACAACAGTATGTGACTACAGCGAGTTTTACGATGGTGAGATTAAGGAGACTCCCACAGGTGTAACCAGAATAATCAGGGTTTGTAAAGTAAGGATAAGGTTATCGCTCAACTCTCCTATGCGGAGGTTGGCTGTGGTAGTTTGCTCAAACAGGGTAGGTCATAGAGTCGTATGGAAAGTTTGGTGGCTCTAATTTGTGTTTCTTTCCGCAGGCTTCAGTCACTCTCGAGACATGAATCCCAAGTCTGGACCGCAGATTCGACAAGTAGTCTTAAGTAGGCACACACAAGCTCCTTCGGAACCGTTCAATCAACTGGACCAAAGATACAACACGCAAGGACGGGGTATCTGTTGGTTGTGGGGTAGATATTCTGGTAGTAAGCTGTGCTCCAAAGCCCGTGTTGGATGATGATCTCGAAGTCCCTTTCGGGACTTGAATCGTGCAGCTCCTGATATCCTGAACTGTAAATCAGGAGGAAAAGGCAGAGGGAAAACATCTGGCACTCATTTGTACTAAATGGATAATAGGTGACCATGGACCACCTATAAACTGTTTTCAGGTCCGGATGTAGCATGGAATAATTCTGGCTAGTCACACCTTAGTATGTCCAGTGAAGAGTTGACAGAAGCCGTACGAGGTTGCCGGCAGACCGTTGAAAAGTACGAAACAGCAGGAGCCCCAGAAAGGAACTATGTGGAACTCCGCAGAATGGCAGCAGGAGTTCCGACACTATTTTGCCAACCTAAGATCTAGTCGGCTGCTTTCAGGATGCTTGTAATGTAGCTCAATGTGGTAAATGGGGACAATCCCTAATTGACACTTCAGAAGTGTCAACATGGTTGCATGGTAGGTTTCGGCTCGTAGCAGGCCAAACAGCCGGTTGAGGTAAACCGACCACTTCTGTTTATATACATTAGACATTGAGTGGTTCTGCTCTTACCCTATTGCTCCCACACAGCACCACATAGGTCTCCTTTGTGACACCCCCAGGCGCAATCCTATCTGTCCATCTTCTTGTTGGTTGAAATTTTATTCGATTAATATTGGCTGGGATGCGAATGTCCATGGTCAAGAAAGCAGAAGAGAAGAGACATCGTGTGTTTGGTGAATTAGTTCTACGGGCTAGAGGATGGTTTCTAGATATAAATCTGCTTGCACAATGTCCTAAAGGACGCTAAAGTCTGATATTATGTGTAAAACCCCATTTTATACTCTGTGTAAGTGTGGACCACACGTCGAAAGCCCAGAACGATAAAAAAGTCCGGTATTCAAACGTTTCGAATAAAAGTTCTTTAATCTGTAGGAGAGATCCAGAACAGAAGGGTTTTTGTTATCCTTGTGTGGTGTGGCTTGGTTCGTGAGGTTGAATAGTCAAACGTGCGTCGTTAGCTCATGCGGTCGGTCCTTAAACTTGTAAGCACTAACGTTGGTGAGAAAACATGAGTTGAACTCTTCCATCTTCAAATGACTCAAATATGTAACGGCCCGTAAAACTGCTGATAATTTACCACCATATGTTGATAGACGGTTTGAAGGGCAAAATATCACACCTCCGATAGATTTGTCTCTGCTTTTAAAAAGACCTCGGAACTGAGTGTAAGAAACTTGAAAACACGGACTATACAGTTCAAGATATTGCGGCGAAAAAGGACAACTCCGTTATTTCTTTCCAGTCAGTAGTGTCCGATGACATACAGGTCCTCCAGGGAAATTTCTACATCCAGGATACCAGTGAGACACGCTCTCTTGGCAGATATGTCCCAGAGAGCTAGCGAGTGACGTCCTTGATTGCTGCTACAGCGGAATGCAAAGCACCTGCTAATGAGCAATCCGTCTATACAGAGATGGAGATGGTTGGTAGACTGAATCTTCTTGAACGCGTCTATGGTCGTCTTCTAGAGCTAATGGACGCCCTAATTGGGAGGTCTAGATGGTTTGGCTAGAGTTCACTAAATTCCGAATAATACCGACGTCTGTCGCGGTGCACGCTGGAATGCTTGGAGCTGAGTGAAGCCACGGATCCGCGAGAGTGGCCTACCGGTGAGGGTATGAATTTATCATTCCATCGGTCTTAAGAGCTACTTGTAGAACGTGTCGTCCATTGCCGAACTAGTTACCAATCTGGCAACGTCAGTCATTATCACCTCCTTAGGGCTGTATGGCGTTGATTCACTTTTGCTGTCTACCAAGATATTGGGGTCACTTAGCTCACGGAAACCACAAACGAAAACTGAACACCTACTACGTTGCCACTCGGCCTCAGCAGCTCACTTCTTCGCTAAATCCCTTTACTCTGTACATTATTAGGCTGGCCCAGTTAGCTTACCATGTCTACTGTTTGCTGATAATCGCGATCTATACAGATCGGTAGCTACTCCAACAGACACCGTTCAACTCCCAGATATGAACACAACCTAGCAGTAAGGTGACCAAATCCGCCTCACAATCAATCAGAAATTTCGGCTCCACACTGGCATACCTGAAAGCCAGTATAATGACACAGTTATTGGACTTCCAGGACCGAAGACGTAGTACATCTTGGAGTCCCGACCCGTGGAGACCACGGCACACTTCTGAACGCAAAAGGCAACTGCGCGCTGCAGACACTGAGATGGAGCTTCGTATTCCAGACGGCTGATACCGTGCAAGGATATTCATCTTGATCTTCTGCTAGAATATGACACACCCGGGATCCTTCCTGCATCTAGAACGGAGAACCTACAGCTGGAGTATATACAATGTAATTAAGACACCCTCGGATTATGATGTAAATCTTTACGGACAACCCCACCGCGATAGACTCCAGGATGACTCTAACGAAGGCCAAATCGTCATCTGCCCTTATCAACCTGGACCAGAACGTTTGTGACGAACCAGAAGAAAATCTTAGGAGCCGGAGCTCCTTAGCGGGTGGTGAGTCGAGTCTTCGAGTGAGTGTGGTTTGGTTTCCTAAATAGAATCTGATCGCATATGTTCCTGTGATACCTTGCGACCTGCAATTGATAGTGCAGTTGGCACTGTATATTAGGACAGATTACCACAAAGGCTTTTCGTTGCTTGGGCAGGTCAGGACCAGAATATTTTCTGGGGGAGTCCGGTTAAGCTGGTCGTCCATTCAGATGGGGTTTTGGGTTTCGGAGTGATAGTCGTGTAAGTGCTACTTCAATAAACCTGAATGAATGGAGGTAGCGAATAGCCTGAGATGTTTACGCAGCTTGGACGTCGAACGCGGACCTGACAGGATGTTAGGCAATTAGCAAGTTTGACACCATGTCACACAAGGCAGATAATTGTTGCCTGAAGACCTGTAGCAATCCATAAAAGCGTCGAAGAACCACATTGTGCTTTCAGAACGTACGTGTTCGCGAAAACCATTCATTCGGAGCTCGGCACTAGCATCATATGGTGTTCCATATGGAACGATCTCCCACAAGTTGTGTATCCGGTGGCTTCACACACCAGACTGTCACACTGTGGTACTCGAAGAATGAGTTTGCTCTTCGCCGCTTTCGTGTGGCCTTGACGACCCACTGCGAGCTGGCTCCCTAAATGACATCATGCGGACGGAAACACTTTGACGCGGCTGTTCACAACCATGATTATTAACGGATTCATCAGAACATATTCGTCGAAAAATTCGAGGGGGGCGATAACACTCGTGGGTCTCTAAACGTGAATCTAGACATCAGTTAGACTGATAACGTTTCAGCGAGCGTGAAGGAACACCCAAACAAGGTCCGATAGCAAAACTCACAGCTGCGCTCGACAATCCGTTGGGGAAAGCCTCCATAGGCAAATCTCCGCCGGAGTGTTGTCAAGGTCAAGGTCAAAGGGAGGAGCGTAAACCATGGATTTACGGTTTCACGAATCAACACTCAGGGTCAATACTTGCACCCAAGTTTCCCAGGTGGGTTTTGTTTTTGCCGTCTAACGGCTGCCGTTCACCTGAAAGGCGCAAGCAAGAGCGCTGCTCTTTAAGTTCTCAGCGAGCGGGAAGTAAGCTTGCCTGCTTGAGTACTCCCATAAAGTGTTTAAAATTGCTTGGAACTGGGTTCTGGATGGAGCGTAGACAACCGTCGGAGGAAGGCTATTCCACGCAGAAACTACCCAAAATGAGAAAAATTTTTGCTTCATGAAAGTGTGCGCTGTGAGCTCGAGAATATTATTACCATTTCCCTGTTATGTATATGCTGGTCCAGACCATGTTCAAACTGGGCATAAGTAAGAAATAGGTCTCCTCGGCGAGAAAACAAGCGAAAGAAGTCAAGTACCACGGTATGCGCTTCATAATCCACGGATTTAAAGCTGGCAGCCATCTTCGAAGCGGCTTGCTGGACATGCTCAACAAGGGCCACGTCCTTCATGCTCCCCTAGTAGACACATTGGTTGGCGTTTGTGGCGTTTTGTACCTTTATTTTGCTTCCATTATAAATATTTATTTTGTCAATTGCACAGTCGTTTTTGTTTGAACACGAAAAACCACAAAAAACACTTGTATAATTTCACGCAATGCAAACGTGGTCATGTACTTCGATTCTCTATCTCTTGATTTCGCTCGCGTTCGTAGCTGTCATTCGCGAGTCTCATGTACTAACTCTGGTGTCAAAACATTTCGGATTATCTTTGGGACATATCATGTATGGGAACTGTTCAGAAGGAGACCCCTGGGCCACCATAATTGGATTATTGTTTATTCGCTGACATGGGTCAACGACGAACTATTTTAAAGAGAACAATTATTAGTGAGTCTGTTCCACTTGACATCTTGATTACTTTATACCCAATCGAGCGTTGGTATTTTTATTCCTTTGCTACGCACTCCTGGTAAAGTGACTTATTGGGAAGGCAGACCACTGCACATATTCAAGAAGCGTCTGACGTACAATATTTGGAAATTCATGTGAATTATGTGGGGAAAGGTGCTCCGAATCATCCGTGGAACGGCGAATGCCTCTTCGGCCGATTTCTCATGGTGCAGTTAATGTCTTCTGATCCTTTCACACCATGCACGACAAAGGCGTTGGCTGAGTACTCTCCGAATGACATATGGACACTTTTCGTCATTCAGATGAAGGTGCCAGTCCAACGACCACTGCGTTGCTGCACCTGCATCCATCTAGAGGAAGTAGCATCAGTACTCCAGGATTTCAGGTTGTCCGCAAAAGTAGACTGGGACTTGCATGAATATCTGGAAGTTCGTTGACGTATATCTGAAACAATATTGGTCCAAAAGCGGAGCCTTAAGGAAATTCAATTGAGACCGGGGCCGGAGAAGAGCAGCTAAATCTTGCGTTCAGCCGGAATGATCTGGCTGATAGGAATGCTGTGATCCAGTGTAAGGTTTTCCACTGAATCCCTTGAGACTCGAGTTTGTGGAGCAGCGTGACTTTTGGGACTCGAGCCAATGGTTTTGAGAAGTCGAAAAATATGGCGTTCGATATGAGTACCTCGTCCTTGGCCTGGGTAAAACTGTTCATGGATGCGAGCACGTTCTTCATGCAAGAAATGTTTGAGAAAAATCCTTGTTGAATTATGGCTAGGGAGGTAATGTGATCCAGGATGGCTCGCTAAAGGGTTCACTCGATCATCTGTCACGGCACGCTGGTGAGCCTTTTAGACCTGTAGCTGCTGGGCGATAGTTGGTCACCAGTTTTGTGGAGTGGCGTGACAACCGCTTCTTTCCAAGCGGGGGGAAGGTGGCCTCCGGTAAGCGACTGACGGAACACCAGATATAAATGATCTGCCAGTGTAAACGACATCTCCTTCAGGATCCTTGGGTGGGCCTCGTCACGCCCCAACACACACAACGGGTTGGACTTGTGCAAGAGTTGACTATTGTTTTCCACTGCGAAGGCCAAGTCGGTAGATACGTCTTGAGAAGATTGCATGTGACGAGGACGCTGGGGCAGAATATAGATCAGTATGGTACCCCTTGTAGACCTCAGATGCTGCTTTTGTTTGACACACGGTTTTCACGTTCCTATCCCCCAAGGAGAACGCGGTTTCCTTATTCTTCCGGGAGTGTCTCATATATTTAAACAGAACATTTCCGTTTTTCTTAGCGTGGTCTTGAATGGTGGTTAGATGTTGTGTGTTCCATCGGCGAAGTTCTGATTTA